TTGAACTTGATTGACTTCCCATTCAGTCGATGGAATCATGGTCTGATTACTGAATTGTTGTTGTCTTTGTAAATGCTAGCAGTTTTGGGTAGGGTGCTTTCTTCCGCAAAATATACATTGAACACCCATTTATTTGGATGATGGACATTCCGTATCAAAATGACCTTATTCCTTACAATGATTATATCATATATTAGGTCTCGTATTAGAAGGCTTATGTCATTTTTCCTTATCTTTAGCCAAATTCACAACCAATTCATCCATCTTCTTTGTTAGATTTAATAACAAGGCTTCATTTGGATCTTTAACAATCATATTTGTGAACAACTCTGGTTGTTGTTAGGTTGGCGATGTAAAATAAGGTGTCATCATTATTGGTGCTATTGCTTGGAGTAGTGTAGCATTAATTGGTTATTGCAACATAACATTCTTCACATTGGAGGCAACCATTTGTGGATAATTATCCATCGGCACATTTTCCAGTTGTATTTGTTGGCTTCCTGAACTTGGAATCATCATGGCCTCCACTGTTAATAATTGGTCACAATGACATTCTTCCCATACCTTTGCTCATGCCAATGATGCCTCTATCGTAGCTGGTCGAGCCTCTTTTATAAATATTTTCAATTCTGGTGGATGAAACCATTGATTAATATCGACAATATAAACGCATCTGGCATTTGATTATTTGACCATTTACAAAGTATATCTGTGATCCGGCCATAATAGGACTCTACGAATTCCTCCGCAAACATCTTGCTATTCATAAAACTTTCTCGAAGTCGATCTTCAAATCCAATTGGTCTAAAATGGGTTAAGGCATTCCTTAAGGCCTGTCAATTGGAAAATCTATCCACTAGTTTTCGAATATATCATTCAAAAGCTATATCTTTTAAAGTTGTTAACAACCATCTCAACTAAATGTCTTCAGTTCTACCATTATTAGCCACGTATGCTATCAAGAATTAAGATATATGGTAATTGAGATCAAAGCCCAGCCAACCACTAAAAGTAGGTAATGGTGCCACACTTGTAGTTCGGTCTCCTACTGCTCCCATTTGTACTACAATTGGTACTTCTGGCACTTCCGCTGCTATTGGTGTTATCACTGATCTCCTTACTATTTGAATTTGAATTTTTCTTCTTTTGGTTTCACTTGGACCTACAATTCTTTTTTGTCATTCCTGTAAGATATTTCTTATGCGTAATCGCTCTTGTCTTTCTTTTGCTTGTCAATTAATTCTTTGATAATCTTTCCTTTCATGATTATCACTCATACTCTTTTATTCTTCTCATATAATTAATTTCTAACATTTCATATTATTATCATTTCCTCGGCAGCGGCGACAAAATGTTGTTCTTGTTGCATTCAAGCTTTGATATACCAAAGCAATTGAATTAATAGAGGTAGATTTGAACATGGAGAAAGACTAGTTATATGAATTGGGTCTGTTAGTATCACAATTGACTATAATCTGGTTATCTGAAATCAATTATCAAATTACAAAATACCAAGGCTTACTACTTCCGTCTTGATTCAACACATAATCCATTTTACGACTATCAATTCAAAAATACTTCTCTCAATCACAATTCTTCATAAGCAAATAATAAAAGCAAAGAAAACAAAGAAGTAGCATCAAGCTTACCCCGGCTTACGACTCTCACAGTGTGGCTCTCAGCTTTCTTTCTTCAACCTATTTATCCTACCAAAAAGATGATCCGTCGGCCAGTGGATTCCAAAGGTTATGACCCTTTGTATTCTTAACCATTTATTCCACTAACAACCTATTGTTACCAACTAAATTGCTTAACCATCAGTCTAATTCTCAAGGTTGTCAATAACCAACCACTAATTTACCACAAATTTTATTTATCTATTCTACAAAGAATTTAAAATAAATAAAAAATAAAAATACTATAAACAATTATAAAATTTCTAAAAATTTATCAAAGATTGAATGCAACATTTATAGTGCCACGACTCTACTTAAGCACATTTCAATAAATTTAAAAACATACATATAAACATATAGAACTGTCAAAACACATGAATAATAAAAGAGATTATTCTTTGCCTATGGACAAGCCTATTTTATGTCAACATATTAATTTAGACTTTATTAAAAAAGTTTCTAATGGCAACACTACTTGTGGGTTATAGGCATCATTGTTGTTGTGAGATTACAAACAACAAGACCTCCCATCAATATTAATAATGTGAAGAATTGTTGTGTAGTAAGTATCAATCAACTACAAGAGTGCAAGTTCAGCAGACTCTTTTATTAGATTAAAATAATGATTTTTATTTTTTATTTTTTGACATATATTAAGATATAATCAATGCTTAGATTATATAAAGAAGTAAAGATAAAGTATACCAACTTATATCATAACACAAATTAGCAAACACACATAAGAGAAACATAATCCACACTTGCAAATAGGAACAATATTAATGTTCTATTGTATTATGAATAATCAAATCTACTATGTGATACTCTTAAATTTCAACTTACTCATGTATTAGATCTATATCCAATTATATTTATAGCCATTTATGATTTATCATACTTTTTCAAGAATATAATTTAAGGTTAGATATTTTTTGATCTTTTAACATGTAATAATTCATTGTATTTTTTAATATTTAATAAGACCATTCTACATAATTTTTCCAATATAAAAGTTACTCCATATTTCAACTTTCTAAGTAAATTTATTATATTGAATCTATATTACCCATGTATATAAATTTCTTAGTAGAAAGAAAATGGTATAGAATCTTTTAATTCAAAAGATAATACTTGTGCAATGATTGTTTAATTTAATGAAAAACCTTTCTTTAGATACTATTTTTAAGAATTATATATTAATTTATATAAAATTGACATAACTCAATTTTAAATATTTTGAGATTGAATATATTTTTAAAATTCATATAAGATTGTATTTGATTGATGTGATAAGCATAGTAAAAACTTAATATCAATAGTTAAATTAATTTATCTCTTTTATATATTTTTGGCTACATCTTTAAGACAATTGAGCCAAATAAGCAATGATATTTTGTGCATATAACCAAATTTGAATATTTTTCAAATAAATAAATAAATAATTTTAAAATCTATATATTTGGATAATTGATAGAATTCTATTTGGTATTATTTATACTAATTAGAATTTAAATTCTATAAATTATAGTTATTTACATCTTTATTGTATAAGTTTTAAACTTAACACCTATAGATTGATGATATCTATTGGAATTAAAGTTGGATTGCTTTACAAGTCCAAATAATAGTTTAATATTTTTATTTCCATAATATTATTTTTAGCACTTATTAAGGACATGAATCTCAAGGAACTAAAAGATCAATATACTTATATGCCACTTGAAAAGATTGTAAAATCTCTCAAAGATGGTATAATATTAGATTAGAATGGCTATTGTCAAAGACAAAAAGACTAGAAAGTTTTGAAACAAGACTAAGGACTTGAAAGGCGTTCACAAGAGTGAAGAAGGATTCACTCTTGTCTCTATATATACAATCTAATTAGGAGCTATGTAGCAACATTCTATAGGACTTCCAACATGTGTCCAACTTACAAGATAAGTGTTTAGCTTATAAGATAAGTTTCTTCTTTATATGCCATATAATTAGCTTCTTCCACAAGATACTAATACATGTAATATGTAGCTAATTTGTTAGCTAAGTTTCTAATGTATCACATCTAAAGTCAAATACACATCTATGAATCTTTTAAAAAACTTCACCACAAATCTATGTACATTTATAAAAATAACATCAAATCTATATACATTTATCATAAAGATAATATATATATATATCTTCTATTATATCTTTATGTTGAAGTTAGAGTTGAAAAATAATAAGTTTTAGATTTATAAAAACCTATTAAATCTTTTTCTTAAGGTGGTGCAATTCTAGCATTTATTAATTGAAACGAAGGTCTTGAAAGGTAGAAGATAAAGAGAAGCCAAAAATATTAGTATTGAGAATGAATTTTTTTATTTTTGCTTAGCTTTATTAAATGAGAGTAGATGATAGATTGTATTAAATAAGTATTTTATTCATTTGAGGCCTTTGATATGGAAAAGAGCTGCTTTATTACAACCAATATATATCTTTATGAAAAATAAACCATTTATAAATTTAAAAATCTATTTCAAGTTGTGAATAAATAATTTAAGTTATATAATTGAATGCATAATAGCTTAGAGATTCAATATTTTATAGTTTTATTCTAATATTTGAATATATATTTTATTTTATTTATTAATAATTAAAATTTATTTATAATTTAACCACCAATTTCTAAGAGTTCATAGTTTAACATACATTATTCTATATCATACGAATTGTTATATGTAAGCATTTCCAATTTGAAGAACTCTAATTACCTATTTTTCCAAAGAGACCTTTACAATATGTTTTGAATCAATAATATTCAAAAAAAAATTCTTAAAAGTTGTTTGAATATCTTTGCCCAATGAATGGTATCTTACATAACTAGAATATTATCAAAAGTACAACATATAGATAAAAAAAAAATGATTTAATTAAAATAAAAAAAAACTATTATAAAATCTATTATAGTACTCTTTTATTTTTAGAATACTTTTGCTACTTTACAATACTTTTAGATCTTGTAAGACATATTTAATAGAATAACTAGATAACAATAACCCAATATGATCTTTCAATCTCTTTTGATTTGATAAGCAAGTATTGTTTGATTTGATAAGCAAGTATTGTTGGTAATCAAGTTGACTAATAAGAAGAAGAAGAAGTGAAGTGCCTTTCTTTCTTTCACAATATTGAAGGATTGCTTTGAATCGCAATCCCATAAAATATTCCTCCATACATTTTCTACGTGAACGAGTGAACACTAACTTCTTATCGATATCGAGAATCACTCTGGTTAAGTAAAGGCATCCGCACCAACTGCACAGCGTCGAAGCTTGCGCCTCCATGTTCGGGACCGACTAATCTCGGCACTTTCCACGTTTATTTGCGCATGCCAAGTGATATTTGCGTACGCTTCCCGCTCCAAGTGTTTTTCGGGTGCTCGGAGACGCACACCCTCGTCGCTTGTCGTAAAAGATTGGTTTGTGTGCTGCCGCTGCTGCTTAGGCAGATGGCCTCCACATTGTGTTGCGGTCGAAGTTGTGACCCAGTCGACGATTTTTGATAGAAAGTTTGTGACACGTCGTGGTTGGGTGTAGGTTGATCCGTTATTCCTCACTTGTGGAGCAGAGCAGTGTCAGCACGAAATTTTGTCTGGAAAATTCTCTTGCATCTCCTCTCTCTCTCTCCCTTTCTCTGCTATCAAGATCTTTCACGTCGGAGGCATCGCTTGCTTTTCTGTGAGAATTTTTGTCCTTCGACAACTCCGTCAGAAGATTTTGAGCGGACTATGAGCACCGCCTTGCCGCTTTAGTTCTAGTACGACTGGCATTGGAGTACTAGGTAGGGTCCGGCACATCTGAGACCTCTGGAACTCAGTTTTCCGTGTGTAAATCAGCTGAGAATGATGTGCGAGTAGTCCAGATTTAATGCATTTTAACTTAGTTTTCGTGAGGCTTGTTTGGTTTAAGTGAAGATTCGGAAGTAGTGTAACGATGGAGTGTTTTGATTTAGGGCCGAAACGCATGGCACAATCCATAATCTACCTCCTGTTACTCACCCTCTTCTCTAGTGTTTTGGCAATCGACTCTCAAAGCCCCAATTTCATATGCGGCAAGTCGTGCAGATGTCCGTTAGGCGCCGGTGCGCAAGATCGCGCTGATAGGAAATTGGCTGCTCTATCACCACCTTCGGAAGCACCAGCATCTGCACCCCTTCCTCCGGCGCCACCGCCCAACAAACGACCAGCGTTGATTACCCCAAACGCTAACTTGCCAGATTCTGACCTGCCGCCGTTGCGCACACCGCCGTCGCCTGGGCAGCCTGCAGCCTCGCCTGTGGAGACTTCAACCTCGCCAGTCTCCTCGAAAAAGCAAACAAACGTAGCAGTGGGTCTGGGGGTCGCATTGGGAGTTTTTGTGGTGTTGATCGTTTCAATTTCAGCAGCAGCATATTTCAAACCTGATTGGATGCCGTGCTGCAAAGAGACCCGTCGAAGCTACTATGAGCGACAATTGCCCACCTAACGAAAACCATGTGCCGTAGACCAGGAATGTGATCAGATTGCATCTTTCGCATGGAGCACCACGACGTTCGACAACTGGCTTCGTCTTCGAAGACTTCAGTCAGGATGGATCTGAATCCAATGTGAAGAAGGCCTTGGTGGGGGCCTGTAGCGTGTGGAGTCGCCGCACATCAAGTTCTGAACGCCGGGGATTGTGTCAGGAAAACAATTTTACAAAGTATACATATTCTCACTGCTTTGGATCAGATCTGCAAGCGGATGAAGAGTGACAGTGTTCCGTATGTCCTAACCCGAATCCTCGTGGTGAGCTATGACAGGTTTGTTCTGATCTCGTAATCAACCGAACGGAATCAAACGAAGTCCAGCATACTGAGGGGTTTGGGAGGCATGAACGTGATCAGAATGTCACAAAGACGCATCGCCAGCACGTCCTTAGCGGAGATGAAGCAGCAGTGAAGGCTTGCTTGCTAGCTGAGTTGAATAGTCCCAATCCTTCGATCACGGAGAGTGCATTCTGGATCAATTCAGGAATTTATAGCCACGTCTATGGAGTTAGATTCTATTCTAGTGCAATCTTAGGGCCGTAAGAGTTTTGGATATGGGAGACATGAATTGATTCTTCGAGAAAAATTCTGCTTAGTCCATGTATACTTCGGCTTGAAGCTGCAAATCCCCACGAGGACTTCATTGAGGAGACCTGAGAATACTGCTGTCAATTTAATGATCCGATTTCTTTCATTTCTTTCTTTCTTTCTTTCTTTCTTTCTTTTTTTTTATCGTTTTTGCAACTTTCTTGTACGATTCTTCTTCTGTCAAACCATGTATGGGTTGTGTGTAGCAGGAGGGGAAAGAATCTAGTGCTTACGGGTACTTTGGTTGATTCTCTCACCCGCTGAAATAGATTCACATGTATTCATTTTCAGTGTTGGAAGTTTTCTGAATGGAAGACATAAAAAAATAGGCATCTGAAAAGTAATGCAGGCTTGTGTTGTGATGGCTGCAACTTGCCTTGTAACCAGAAAAAGCGATTGCAGTTTTTGAATGCCTTGGAGTGTCGGTATACTGCGAGGAAGCATACTCACACCATCAACAACTTGGGTGATGGAGTAATGACTTCGAGACTCAACCAGTTCTGTTGAAGTGCAGGGAATAGACATGATAGACAAGATGCAATTTCATGTTTGTGTTAGGCAAGGGAGATGGAAAAGAACAAAACTGTATATAGAACTGTTCTTATGCATTCTTATTTGGTCTTTGATTGCTTACTTAAAGATGGTTTTTGGCACTTAATCCATTGTGTGTGACAATTTTTATTTACATGACATATAGATACACAATTTTAAGCTATTAGTATGAGACCGTGCAGACTTGCAAACCTCCACCTCCGATCAATCGAGTACAAACTTCTACCATATTCTATTCTACATGGTGGTTAGTACTCTAATCAATTGTGTGTAACAATTTTTATTTACATGTCATATAGATCCACAATTCTATCTACTAGTATGAGACCGTGCAGACCTGCAAACCTCTACTTCTAGTCAATCGAGAACAAACGTCTAACATATTCTATTCTACTTGGTGGTTAGTGCTCTAGTCCTTTGTCCTTATGCTCCTAACTCTCCATTAATGTGCCTAAATCATTTAATCAAACTTCCTAAGGTTCATAGTTAAAAGTTTTTCTCTACCCAACTTTGTCTACAAAATTAGTACTACCTCTAAAACAGTGCCAATTTTTGTTTTGAATCAACAACTCCAAAACTAAAGCACATGCCACCTCTATTGTGAGCTTTTGAGTTGCCTATTGAATTGAATCTATGCTATTGTGTTATAATATAGCTATTAGATGAAAATATATATATTATATTATAGAAGAGTTTAATTTAAAATGTCATATCAAATTACTTTAAAAATATAGATAAAAGTTAGAAAGAGTAAAATAATTTAGTTTTAATGTTATCTTTTGATTAAAAATATATATATAGATATATATATATATATATATATATTTATTTATTTATTTATTTATTTATTTTGTAGGACCATAAATAAGACAAAAAATACATGGATTAGTAAAATGAATATTATATGCGCCTTGATGTGAAAGTAAAGAGTAGCTTTTAGCAAAACTTATAGAAAGAAACCTTAGATTGATACCCAAAGAGGACTATTTGTAAACTAGGATCAAAACCAAATCCCAAAGCACAAAACCATGCTCCCATAGCAAATATAGGATTGTTTTGTTGATTAGAAAATAAGATTTAAGAACAAATTTAATAGTGTTTCTTTGAATGTTGGTTTTGAGGGATTTAAGATTATAATGACTTTAAAAGAGCTTTGCAAAGTCAAGATTATTTTGAGTGATTTTATTTTTTGTGGAATAAAAAAGAGGTTTCATTTTTATAAATTGTGTAATTTTTTGTGGATAATCTATGAATAAAATTTTATAGATTTATATAATTATTTTTATTAAATTATATTAAAAATTTGAATTTATTTAGATTTTTAATTTGTTAAAATTCAAGTGAATGATGATCACAAAAATTGAATTTAGAAAGTGAGTGAGATTTTCTTTGATTTTAAGTAATATGCTAGTTGGATTGGAATAAATTTTTCATGTGCTAATATATTATTTATTATTTAAAATTCATATAAATTTTTAAAATAATTTAACAATTCAATGGAGAGATATTATTGTTAGAAGATTTATATTGAAATTGGAAAAAAGAAGATAATTGACATCCAAGCAAATTAGGAATATTTTCTTTCAATTTGTAATCTTTATTTCCTTCAAAAATTGTATACTTTTTGTCAATTAGTATTAATAGGCATGTGAAAGACTTAAATTAAGCTTAATAGTTCAAAAATATAATTATTGAGATTTACAATCTATTATAGAGTTTATTTAAAATTTGACTAGGATTAATAATTTCTTTAAGATTTCATTAGGATTTTTTGATGATTGTTTAAGATTTATTTGATATAGATTAGATTGTCATAAGATTTTTTTAAGTTATTCAAGATTGCCAAAAAGATGTTTTTAACACCTTGATTGTTTACATTAAGCCACTTTGCTTACAACTATGGTTCTAATGTGTTTATCATTGCACTTGCTTCTACAAAGTTGTACAATCAGTATTGAAGGTAATATCAAATAAGCTTCTTATTTGATAGAAGCTCTTTGAGTGATTAATAAAAGAATTGCACATCAAAAGGTGAGTGCTTCATACCAAATTTCTTCTCTTAAGGTTTTTAAATCTTGCTTACATATCTTTACCTTCATTTTGTATGTAATCACAATCGACTTTACCTCTTTAAGAAATTATCCTTTTTCAATAGTCAAATCTCAAAATTTAGCCTTTAGCAAGAATTTAGGACCTACTTTTACAAATTCTTCCAATCTTTTGACATAGGCTAGATAACTGCCAACTCTTAATATTATAACTTCTATATATTTTTCAATTGCTAAGAATAATTTTATTTCTAAAAGAAATCAAGCATTTATTTATTTTTTATTTTTTTATTTTTTTTATTTTTTTAAGTGCTATGAAATCTTGACTTTCAAGTGTTTGTTGCTACTCCCTTAGTTGTATTATAAAGGAATTGGAGTAGATGTCAACTTTGATAAAGACTTTATTATAGCTATAAAAATTTGATATCCAATCTCCAATTTTAATGGTTGGATGTTCCAATTTTCTTCACTTTCATTTAATTCCTACTATAAACTCACTTGTTCCTCAATCAAATGTCTAATTTAATTTATGTCAATCTCCACTAGCTTTCATAATAATTTCAAAGCATAACTTGGCTCTTTTATATGTACTTTGATCAATAGATAAGTAGATGCTGCAAGTGGTGTTTTTTTATCACCCAAACAAGTGACCAAAGAGGAGTCATTTATCATGGCTAATGAATGCTTGCAAATTCAAATTTCAGCACATCTTTTCTCAATTGATATTTTGACCATACAAATTTAAGTGTGATGGCCACAATTCCAATTTCAAAGTCAATTTGCCCTACACTCCTCATTGAGAAATGACCAATCATTGTCAATTCATTAAGGATCTTAGTAATTGGCATGTCACTACTTTATTTGAGACATGATTGAATTAGTTCACTTGTTCTTCTATTCCAATTAAATTGAAACTGATATAAAAACTACTATTGTTCAATTGTTTTTTCATGGAAGAAGTATAATACTATCCTTATTCCTACATCCACAAGTTAGTTTAAGTGATTAATCAAGATTCTCAATATCATTTGTACTTAGTGCCAAAATCAAATGCACATCCAAAATTCAACTTGTATTCTATTTTAAAACTATTCTACAATTAACTTTTTATTTATTTTATAATATTTTTTATAGTACTAGAAAGTTCTAAGAGTAACTCTTACTCTTGTCTCAAATTATTTCCAACTTAAGAATTGGAATCAATTCCATTTGGATTCCAAAAATTCTCCAATACTATCTCACTAAGAAGGTTTAATAGTAAAGAATGATTTCACTTAAAACTCTAGTTCTATTGTGCCAAAATATGGACCAAAGGATGCAATAAATTCTGGAAGTTGCAAAAAAAATAAAAAATAAATACAATTACAATCTATATACTATCTCTAAATATTACTTTAGCCAAAATAAGCTCATAATAACTACTTTTTAGCAATTGCTTTTATTCTTGAACCTCCCCAAAAAAAAAACATATTGTGCTTTAAAGCATTGAATGATATTTCATATATATATATATATATATAGTCAATTTATGTGCCACAAAACACAAGGATTCCCCTATAAAATAATCTCAAATGTAAACGTTACAATCAGTGAAGTGAGCTCCAGCGCGTGTCTCCTGGACAATATCCTCACTTGAAGAAACTGATCAGAGGGCTCTCCAGCTTCAGTTTCCAATGCCACCATCGCCTCTTGCTGCAGCCTTAGGGTTCAAGGATTAGCCCTGAGGCCTCACACCATGCCACAGCATGGAACCATGAGTTGCACTGGAGCTCTTGCTGCTCCTGCTCAGTCCCGTTGCTATCACTGCGCTCATGTGCTTGTCTATATCACTTCAGCAGCATAATCCACGGAACGTCACGCCTCATATGCTATATTCTCCATCACGTCGAGAGAGAGAGAGACTTGGAATCCAGCATGTCGAGTACAAGCAACCTTTCACAACTTGGATCTACAATGAGAGCTACATCCCACTCAACATCTCTGGTGGGGCAGACCCACCAAGAACGCTTACGGTCCAACAATAACCTGAAGGATGTTACAGGACTAACTGGAACTAGTTTTGCAAGCATCGCCATCCCAAGGTACAGAATAATGCCAGAAAAACCGCATGGGTTGCGTGGTCTTGTCGACTGGATATGCCATTGGGAAAGAAACAAAGTCGAACACACTCCAATGCTCGTCTGTTGCAAGCTGCGTGGAGGAATTCAGGTGTAGTAAGGTAGTAAGCGTGTTGAAACAGTCACTCGGGGTCCTGAGCCAACGTGGCGGTCGTGCTTCCTTTAGAAGCAAAGCATTCACTCCCGCGTTCATCATCTCTGGTTTGTAGGATTCTTGGATGGTATTGAAGGAGACGAGACGACAATTGTAAAGTCTCTGCAACCAGACTCATTAAAGTTTGTGGGCAGCCTCTGAAGCAAAATGTGCATTGCACCTGATACCTGCTGCCCAAAGCAGTTCATTGTTTTGAGGATCGTGCTCCGAATGTGACGCAAAGTAATCTTTGGTTCGAAGTTGTCATCTGGCGGCCTTTTCCGGTAACCAATTGCTGAGACAGCAAATTTCTTCCCATCGATTTGTTCAAATGGTTAAGTGGGCACCACGGCTTCAGAGGTTGTGTGTCTCGGTTGGCTGGATTGAGGTCGAGCATTGTGAATGCATTGTTCTGCGGATTCAAACGACCCGATTGCTAGTGCAGGTATAGATTACATCTGCGAAAATTGTACACGATGAGGCACGTAAGGACATCGAGTACTTTAAATTTGTAAGCTTTTCACCAGATCCTGAGCTTCTGTCAACCCTCATCAAGTGCTTTCGATTTATTACTTCTCTGCTTCTCAGATCAAGATATTATTTTTCTGAAATTAGTCGGAGTACGACTCACAAACTCCGAGAAGTACGTGACTGGTATCCAAAATGCTGTGTAATGGCGTATGATCTTCTGTCGCAGGAAAGTACTGCCGACCCTACTCATGGCTCTGCTGGTTCTAAATTGCTGCTCTAGCCCTGCTTGCTGTGTTCGAATACACGGGATCCCGGGCACCATAATTGGCAGGACGCTCCTTCAAGTGAACCCTGGCTGGGATGTCACGGCTATCACAACTCTAACTTCATCAACAGATGTGCAAGTGTTGTGCAAGAGAGAGGACGTCATAGTTATCGACGATCCATGGTGGTTGAAAGTGCATGTGTGGTCGACGGGGATGGAGGGATGGGTGTCGGATTACTTCGTCCTCTGCCGTCACACCACCGGCTTCTGCAGAGTTCCTTTCTGCACTTAACAGGAATCTGAATACATTCACTTAAGAAGGCACCGACCCAGAAGATAGTCTTTTACCGACAAGGGTCTTTGAGATGAAGGGCATGAAATGGTTTCGTTTATGTCTCGGACATGACAGCGTAAGATCCGCCGTAACAGTGACTTGATGCCCCCTTCGCTGGGGTGGATGTTAACAAACGTTAAGAAGTTTCAATTAGAGCCATTCGTGCTTTTAAGACATGTTCGGCTGACACGCGGTGGTACAAGTAGTATCGTAATTGTTTGTTTTATCATAATCAACCAGATTCCTTATGTCTGCTTCACTCAGCGCAGGTCTCACAACAAAAATTCCACTCTTCCGTTGCCCGAGAATAAACCAAATGCTCACATAGTAGAGTCCTCACAGATCATGCGACTGTTGGTTGTGCCATGCACCACCTAACACGTCTTCATTTGCTTCATTGTGCCAAGACTCCCTTTTCTATGTGCTTCCCTACTGTGGCTTGGCTCCCTTTCCTATGCCATTCTAAATCCTACCTCCTGTCACAAGTGTTGATTCTTTACTTTCTTCGAAGGACCAGTGCTACTTATCTTTATCATGTTCGCAATACCACCAGACACATATCCATATCATTCTTCCACTCAAAAACTGTTCCTAGATTCAGGTTCTGTGAAAGGTAGGAATTCTCCAAAAGAAACAATGAGATTCATTCCCCAGAGGATCAATCCTGTTTGAGGGTTTCATTAAGTGTGTGCCCAAGCAAATAGAACGCTGCTGATCGCGTAGCCAGTTAGAGCTACTGTCGAAAACTAAGAAACTAGCCACATCATTAAACCACATGTCAGAAATATAGATTAACCATGACGATTCTGGGAGCCAGAAGTTCAGAAGAAAATTCCACAAGGTAAAACTTTAAAGGACTCCTGAATCCAAGAACCATCGTGAAACTAGCTTAACGATTAGCCTTGGCCACACGCTCGATCTCGTCCTTCTTCTTTATAGCGTAGCTGTAAAAAAGAATTACCCACAAGTCAGAAAAAGGGTAGGATAACAATTTCTGCTCCAAAGAACAAGTAAATGTCGAAGACTTTCCCGTAACTATTCATACCTGTTTGAGGAACCCTTGGCTGCGTTAATCAACTCATCAGCCAAGCACTCAGCAATGGTCTTGATGTTTCTAAAAGCAGACTCTCGTGCGCCAGTGGTGAGCAAGTAAATAGCCTGGTTAACCCTTCGCAGAGGGGAAATATCTACGGCTTGCCTCCTGATAACTCCAGCAGAACCAATACGTGTGGCATCTTCACGGGGTCCACTGCAGCAGATAAAAGATATGCCTCATGCCACTAAAAATTGCTACAATTGAATTAGACTCGCCTCAAGAGTGTCGCATTTCATTTTCCACATCAAACACCAATAGAAAGATAAGATTCAAACCTGTTGATGATAGCATCAACGATGACCTGGATGGGGTTCTGATCAGTCAGAAGGTGAATGATCTCCATAGCGTGCTTCACAATGCGGACAGCCATCAACTTCTTACCGTTGTTGCGACCGTGCATCATGAGAGAGTTGGTCAATCGCTCAACAATGGGACATTGTGCCTTTCTGAAGCGCTTGACGGAGTATCGTCCGGCGGTGTGGGGTACGAATGTCGCATGCTTGTCTACGGATACAGCAATATAATCGGCCAACGAGATGTCATTAATCTGCAAGGACAAAGAGAACACCCTAAACATGAGGTTGCTGTGCAATGTAAAAACGGAGACCCCCGCCCTTGATCAGCGAATTCACAATTACATCGAAGTGCACATATTATACAATATACGCATAAAAAATATGTATATAAAATATTATATACATGCATAGAAAAATCAATACAGGTATTTGATGTTCCGTGATGAGAAGCAAACAGGAGCATAAGTAGAAGCCAATCCAATCATGATTTACGCAGGCCAGACTCCACATTACATTCGCAGTATAAAATAAAATAAAATAAATAAAAAATCCAATTTCGATATTACAGCGCGAAATTCATTACTAAACAAACAAAAGGGGGGCAAAAAGACCCCTATGACCCAACTATAGTTCCTAGACCAATCATGAGAACCGTCACTAGGAAGCCTATGCCCGTCTCAGGCATATTAGAGTCAGGTCCCCGTCGCAACCCTAAAATCAATGTAGTGAGACGACTAAGAGCGGAACGGACTCAGTCCAAGCCGCCAGGCATGGCAGAGGAGAAATTAACATTCTCTACTTGAAGGAATTGAATTTGCAACAGACACAGTCCTCCCAGTGAGCAGCAATCCACCGCCTGAGAAGTACTTCACAAAACCCGAAAACACGATCAAAATTTTCAGGGAAAAGAAAATCTAGCAGAGAATCAAACCTCGATGTCGTCGAAAGACCAGCGCCCGAAGAGCTTAACCTCCGGCTGAGCGACGGCCATGGCGACACAGCACAGATGCAGGGAGGGAAAGGGAGGGGGAAACGTCTCGTGCGGAGCTGCTGCAGCTCAAGGCAGGGTGAGGCGAGAAAGAGATCACGCCCGCGCTGCCAAGCCCCTCTTGCACTCCCACCACTGTAGCCCTAATCCCCCCCCCTGACGGGCAGCGGAGAGTATCGTAGCGGGCAGCGGTGATTTCCTACTAGGGTAGACTTCGACAGCGACGAACTTGCCCCGTTCATCGGACGGTGGACTACCTCCCTGACTGTGGCTGGTCTCGCCTTTGTCACTATCCTCAAGCTTTTTCGTGATATTTTAAAGTAAAACACACTACTTTCTTATTTCTGGGTTTTACTGCGGTCGTGATTCAAGCACTTTCATGCGCTGTGTATCCAAATATAGTCTGATTTGAATGGAGGTGTGATAAGTATAGGACATGAAAATTTACACCTCACTAAAAAGGAGGAAAAAAATTGAATGGTTTTTTTTTTTTTTTTTCATTCTTTTACTATTGTGTGTTTGAAATTTAAACAGTATGGATGTATCTACATATGCACGAATGAATATATATATATATATATATATATATATATATCAAATAATTTAAAAAATAATAAAATAATAAATAATATTTTAGCAACATAAAATTAATTTGACTTATATATTTCAGTCTTTTTTTTTGTATTAGAATGACAAAAGAAAATTATTGATTACTAACTATAGTGAAATATGTAAGTTTAAAATATTTTAAGTAAAATGATTTCCAAATATATTTAAGAAAGTAGGTTAAAGCTAGTTATTGAATTAATTTTAGAAGTTCATATATATCTATATATATATGTATGTATATATATATATATATATATATATATATATATATATATTGTTTTTCTTCTCTTCTCTTCTATTTTGTAATCATTGTAATTCTTCTAGGTATTTTTACGTGTTGAGTCTTATGTTCAATTACTTGTAGATTTGTTGTTCTTTAATAAATATTCTTTCATGGGATTTTACACTTTGTTTATCTATAATTTTTTGTTTAGAAGGTGTAAGAATTTGGAATACTAAAAACAAGCTTTTTGAACCATAATAAGGACAATGAAAAGAATTCATTTGTTGCACATATATAATTTTCCAACAAAAATTTTAGATGGATGAATCAAACAACAAACCAATGGGTAAAATATTGATTCAAAATCTTATTAGGTCATATGATCTTCATGACTTGTCTCTACTTTAGATAAGATAGCTTTGCAATAAGATTATGTTCTTGCATACAAGAGAGTTATAAAAATAATTAAGTGTTGTCTCAAATCTAAAAGAAATAAAGGAAAAGAATGAAATCAAGTATGTATGCAAGTCTCATTTACTATGTTATGCTTCAACAAAGTCTTCTTAACTTTAGAAGTTAGTACCTTGTGTTCACCCAACCAACCAATTTTTTACCATCACTTGCTTGAAGCATGTAATTTTCCAACTATTAACAAAATACATATAAACAATGTAGCTACTATGAATACTTTCAAATCAAATTCAGCTTTCAAATTAATTTTGAGCTAAGTTGTTCATTGCATTAGACAGTTATTATAAGCCAAAATTATATTTAAAATTTTTTTAGGAATTTGAATAATATCATAGTATAAAACCAAGCTTTAGTGTCTAGAATATTGTAAAAGTGATTTGTCTATAATATTTCTAATTTAGTTGATATCTATGATATCTATGACTTATCCAAATTAAAATTTCCTTCATATCCACTTATTAGATGTTATCAGTCATTATCCATTATGCCTATAAATCCATTAGTTCAACTAGATTGGATATTGCAAACATATAAATTTATTCCAATAGTTATTTAGATATTATGAATACATAAAAATATGTTAATTCAATAATATCTTATAAGAAAGCTTCTTAGAAGCTTCATAGATGAGGTTTCACTTTTATATTTATCTATAGGTGATTGGTAGGTTAGAAATTTGGCCAACAAGTTAGTCACATGTTACATGTATTGATAGCTTATCGTAGAAGTTAACAATTCACCACATATTTAAGAAACTTGCCTTATAAGTTAACAAACATATTTTATAAAATGGACACATGTTAGAAGTCCTATACTACATTGCTATGTAGCTTCTAATTAGATAGTATATATTTACGCAAGAGTGAAGCTTTTTTCAATCTTGTCAATGCATTTTTAGTCCTTAATCTTGTTTCAAGCTTTTTTAATCTTCTTATCTTTGGCAATAACCATTCTAGTTTAATATCATACCATTTTTGAGTGATTTTTTTAGATTTTTAAATAACACGAGAATGTATTTAACTTTCATTTTTTAAAAATTCATGTCTTTGACAGTTTGACAATAGTGCTAATTCATTATTCTTATCTTGTTTTTAGAAGTGAGTGGACTACTCTACTTTTATGGTTGTATTTTGAAGATTGTAGACTATCTACCTTCAATCTAGTAATTTAATTCTTTAGTAGTGATTTCTTCTTAAAAAAAGTAGACTATTCTTTCTTATAAATTTTTTTATTTTATATTAAAGGTTGTAGATTATCTTCATCTATATTGACTTATAATTATGTTTTGAATTGTTTTTTGGAAGGAAAAATTCTAGATGCTACTCTTAACATAGGTAAGAATAGATTTTGAATCATTCCAAATCTTCATAAGCTTATCGACACTCTTAGGGTAGAAATCTCATGTATTGTCAAGGACATAAATCTCAAAGAATTAAAATATTAATACATTCTTGTATCACTCAATAAGTCCAAAAAATCATTCAAAGATAATATAAAATTAAAATAAAATGGCTATTGCTAAAGATAAGAAGATTAGCAAGTCTAAAAATAAGACTAAGAACTATAAAGGCATTAACAAGAGTGAAGAAGGCTTCTCTTTTTCTTCCATATACATTCTTAATAAGAAACTATGTAGTGATATCCTATAAGACCTCTAAAATATGTTGACTTTGTAAGATACATATCTTAATTTACAAGGTAAGTTTTTTATATGTATGACACAAAGTTAACTTGTTCTACAAGCTATCAACACCTAGTTAATTTGTTGATCAATTTTTTAACCTATCAATCATCTATTAATACATGTAAATTCAAAGTATCAACTATAAAGCTTTTAAGAAGCTTCTTTAAAAAATATTATGAATTAAATCTATTTTTACATATTTTTACTTGATTATTTGATAAATATTAGAATAAATACATATATTTGTAACATTATCCTTCTTTCTAGGGACGAATTCTACAAAGAACAAACATCATATGTTGAAGAAATTCAACATGTAGCAAATTATGTTTGCTACATGTATTGATCTTTGTTCTCTTCAAAGATGATTGTTAGGTCTCCTTAGTCATCAATAATATCTCATATTAAGACGAGAAGACCATCCCATTATTTGATGGTTTTTGAAGCCTTTGTAACTTACTTCAAATAAAACATTTAGAACACAATCAAGAGCCATTTCTATTTCTAATAAAATTATCAAATATTGGGTGTTTCTTTGAAAGTTGTGATATCAAACACTTTATATCTTGCCATTTATTTGAAGAAAGACATGTTGGTCTTGAGAATCTTCATTTCAATTATGTTATCTTGAAGGTTATAACAATTACAATGTTTCATCTAATAAGTTAATAAATGATAGCTCTTGAGTTGAATATGTTGGTTGTAGGTTCTTTATTTCCTTAGTGTCACAAATATATAAAAGTTACAAACAAAAGTAGAAGATAAAATGCTATCTTTCATAAATCTTCTTTCTTTTGTAATAAAGATTTTCTATTCTTCATTTTGATTTTGATGGATTTTGTCAATAAAAATCCTCAATTTTTTTTATTGTTTTTATAAGATTCTTTATTGATTTCCATATTTATTTATTAATATCATATCTGCACCAATGAATAAGATATTTTAATTTATTTTGGCACTGCCTTGAATCTAAGATTGCTTCTACCTCCAATTCTTGATTATTATCCACTTTTATAAGAAGAAGTGGTGTTTGTCTTCTTTCCAAGATATTTACTATCTTATATGGCTCAAGAAGAGATATGTAAAATAAGGGATGGATCTTCACAGACTCCAATAAGTATAATCGATAAGCAATAAGGTTGACTTATTCACAACCAAAAAAATGTCCAAACCTACAATAGTCCAATTTTTCAGAAGGACAAGTAGTCTTAATATTACAAAAAAATAACCATATCTTGCTACTTGTAGTAAATTTTGATTATTCCTTGTAATAAGCATCTACATTAATTTTTTTTCATTCTTGAGCTTCCTTTAATTATACATTCATTGTTGCATTTAACTTTAACAAATAATTTGTCAAATCTTCTGCTATAAGATTATGAGCTTTTAAAATATCATAAGTATTAAGTTTTGGATGATAACTATAATTGAAAAAAAAAATTATTTTTTGAATAAAATAATATATCAAATTATTATATGCAAACTTTGTCAATAGCAAAAAAATTGTTTATCTTAGCATATAATCTTATATTTTTTAATTTTTGTAATATGTAATAAATATGAACTTTGTATTCTTTTGTACTCTTAAACTAGATCAAGATTTCATCTAAATAATTGATGACAAAATCATGAAAATACTTCTAAAAGATATCATTCATTAAATGTTAAAAAATAGTTTACACATTTATAAGTCTAAACGGCATAATATTATATTTAAAATATCCATATTTGATTTAAAATATAATTTTTTAATTATTTATTTTTTTAATACTTACTAGATTATATGCTCCTCATAGATCTATTTTTGTATAGATCTTTACTTAATTCAATTGCTTAAAAAGTCTTGAAATCAAAGATTAAAGGTACTTATTTTTAATGGTGATCTTATTGAGTCCTTGATAGTCTACACTCATCTACTAAAATTTATCTTTTTTATTCGCAAATAAGATAAGAGTCATGACTAGAAATTTAGAATGGCATATGAAGTTCTTAGCTAAATTCTCATTAATGTATTCCTTGAGTATAATCAACTCGTTCTATGACAAGCTATAAATTGGTCTAAATGGTGATTGAATTCTTTCTTGAAGATCAATAGAATAATCATAAAAAAATGCTTT